CTGCATCTGCTCTGGTCTGCTGTGGATCTTCTTTTCTGAGCAGCCTGCAGTGCCGTGCAGGCGTACTGAGCAGCAGCCATCCCATCCCCGAGAATTCCTATACCTCCTCCGACAGATCCCCGCTATGTCCTCTTGATGAAAGGTGATGAGCAGCAGCCCTCCTGCAGCTCTCTTTCCATCCAAACCCATTGGTCCATGAATCTGCGCAGCGTGAACCCATTACCTCCCCTGACTTAGCCATTTACGCTCGCAATTGCGATAAGTAGTGGACCGACTGGCAACAATTGGGGTTGATTCACTTTTCACTTCACCAAATTAAAGATGTAAAATGAAACCGCGGCAGACACAGAGAAGATTTGGCCCTTCATTCCAAAGTTGCCCAGAGGTCAGAAATTGAAGCCCGCGGCCAGAAAGATTGCTATGAATGCAGGACCGGTGTAGAAAAACTAGCAGAATGAAATAGCTGTGAAAAAGCTGTGCTGACACCTGACAGGGTTTCACCTGTTTCCAAATCCAAAGGGCCCTGGTGGCACTGTGCCGCTCAGGAATGAAAGAAGAAGAAAATGAGGAAGAGCAGACTTAGATTGGCAGTGGGTAAAGATATATTTTTCAAAGAAGTTCACTTTCTGCAACACTTGAACTGAAACTGGGACTGGTTCAATTGTGCCATCGTTCATCAGCAGAAAGAGCTCATCAAGATCCACACGTGTCATCAGATTTCTCCCAGAAAACGTGTGCACTAATGCACACGTTTCCTAAAACGAGACTACATGTATCTCCGGGGACCGGGGACCGGGGCCCGATGGCGGTGAACAACTCCCCGCTACAATACGGTGCAGCACAGTAACACCATGACTGATGTCTGTGGTTACTGCACCACTTGACACCAGCTTATTGCTCTACAGTTTAATGCAGCCGCATGCCATAAAGCAGAAATCCCAGCGCATACGGGGACGAGCCGAGGGAGTGGCTCAACCAAGAGTCACCTCTCTTTTCCATTCTCGTTTCTCATCTCCCCCGAAGCTCTCTGCAGTGCAACGCACCGTTGAGCAAGCAGGCACACACACACACACACGCGCATACACACAAAAGGACCTCCTCAGGGGCTCAGGTGCTTAGAGGGGAACAGAATAAGATGGTCATGCTCTGTTTTTACTCTGCGTCAGCTCGAGTTTCACAACCGGAGGGGTTGTTCCACACAGTCTCTTATGCCAGCCATCTGCCAATCACTCATTCCTGCTTTCCCCGCAGCCAACCTGGCAGCTTACACCCTTTCCAGCCCGGGTCAGCCCCCTGGAACTCAGACAGGCCGGGACAACTGATGGCGGGGTCAGAGGTCAGCAAGCAAAAGAGAGGCAGAACCAAAATTGCGTGAGAAACATTAGGGAGGAAGAGAGAGCCCTGATTATACACCACATGTCTTGGACTTACTTGTAAACAAACACTCATCTTCACGCATTACTTCAGTCTTTTCAGTCTTTCAATCCTTTATCCACAAAAAAGTCCTGGACGATGAACTGAAAATCGTCGTATTCATCATCGATTGTAAAAAAAAACCTACGCAAACACACCGTCGGCTCTGGGGTTTGAGCACATCGAGGGTCAAATGAGGAACAAAGCCGAAACAAATCCAACATGAATCCTAATGAGTCATTTGTTAGAATGACTGCTCTCATCATTTATGCATTTTAACATAACAAAACTGGCAATGGCCCTGATGGTAAAAATTAATTTGTGCAGCCACATTCGCAGTCACACTTGCTCACATCATCAATAATAGGTCTGGACTCGTGCATATATCAGCGCTGGAAGCACGGCAGTCCTGATTAGCTGGTGGCTGGCTCGCTGTCCACGAACAAGATTACGCTTGATTCATTGCTTATTGTACCTCGGTGTCTGCAGAGCTTAGTGGCCAGTGTCTCCGTTTCTGCCCCGCAAAGGTCAGGTGAAAGGTGAGGTCTGGCCACAACTGACCTTAACCTCCAACAGCTCAACTTAATCCAAATCTTCAACCCCTCACCGGCCCGCAGGACATTCCCTGTTAATCATTCAGGGCGCTAATGGAGCTCACAAGGTTCCGTGCCGCTTTTAGACTCGCAGGCCTCAGTATTTATGAGAAGTTTAGAGCTGAGGACACGACCACTGATCACTGATCACTGACAGCAAAGTCTTCCACTGCAGAGAATATTTGTATTAGAGGAAAAACTCACATTACGGGCTTCCACAAAGTGGAACAGAATGTTCTCAGATCTACTCTTAAAGTGTTTTTTAAATCAAATTATTACCTCACCGACCAAGAAGATTGAGGATAGATACCACTTTCTTATCTGGATGATAAATACAAACAAAAAAAACTGTTACTATCTTCTGTGGCTCTACACCCACTCAAGCATTTTACAGATGGAAATAAACGGGCACAAATGTCTTCAGTTTCAGTTTGGTGCCCTCTTAAATAAGCGTCAGCGTACAGGTTGCAACAGCTCTACCTCAGTGACTCTTTTAAGGCCTCATCTGCCACCTACATCACTCTCTGTCCTAACTGAATATGAAATATCCTTTAATGTCAGAGGACTTTCACGAAACAGTTCATATTTGCGGGCTGAGCTATCAGTTTGCAGTGATTGTTGACAGACCCTCTGATTACTCTAAGGAGCTAACTGGTTTCTTTGAAGTGGAGATTCAAGCAATAGCCTTTCTTTAAACCTCATTTAGCGGCTGTGTCCAGCCACAATAAGCACACTCTGCAATAATTGAACCCAGACTGTCTATCTTTCACTTCTAAAGCCGCTCGTTATAGCAGGTTTAAATAATGCAAATTAAGTAGGTGAATTCCCCTGATTAAATCAAGTCTGGAGGCCATCGTTCTTGTTTTTACCTGTCCTTCTTATTAAAGGGCATTTTTCCCCTCTATTTCATTTAATCAGCTGCTGTTTGAATAGCATGGAATCTGTCAAGAATGAAAATCTAAGAGGTTGCTGAAGGCCATAATTACAGCAAAGGTTCATTTAGACTTTATATTTTTTATCATAGAATAAATGTATTGCACGTAAAGACTATTGACGATCCAGATTACAATGTACAATTTAATAGCTTTAAAAAAATGGTCGAACACCACTGCTGTTACTCAAAGGTCAGTGGATGCACGGGGAAAAAAATGCTCAGCTCACGGCAGCTTTTTAAAAGCAACACTAAAGAATAAAAAATGCTGATCCCGTGGTTTGGGTGTAAATATTGTCCCGCATTACTGCCATTGTTCGCCTAAACCACTGGACTCCTGAACAGTCAGGAGGGGAGGGTCCTTTGCTTCCGTTACTTTCTTGTGGGACATACTGTAAGCACGTTCCTTTAGACCCAAACAGGAAAATACAAAAGCTGTCTGGTAGGCTTCAGTGTGTGTGAACAGCCCCCCCCCCCCCCTCCTCCTCCTGCCCCTTTTTAGTAGACTTCATGTTTGAAAGCACATTCCCTCGACCCAAACACTCCACTACTCTACGACTGTATTATAACAATAAGTCTACATGCTGGGGTAAGGGGGGTGGGGGGAGGGATGTCTGGGGACTAAGCCGACTTCCTCTCAACAAAAAGGCGACTTTAGGCGGATGGGGAGGGAGGGGAAGCGTGACCTCGGGTGAAAAGTCTAGGCCCTCGGTTTTTCCCATGACAAATGCAGACTCGACAGTGCACTGGCCAGACCCCGTGCAGGTAGCGGGACCCCTGACACACAGGCGTGCTACCTGAATAACCCCGCTGACCTCCCTCCCTCCGCGGAGGAAGTCATTTGGAGGCAATCATCCATAACCGCATCCATCCTATGAGGCCCAACAGGTGAGCGGCCTCAGCCTCAGAGAGACAATGGGTTTATTATGCTTCACCTGGAGAAAGCCCTTCCACAACCCTGGTACAATAAGAGTACCCTGCCATCCCAGTTTGCCACCCTGGAATTAAGACCCAATTTAGCCATCAACAAGTCCAGAGTAAGGAGTAAGGGGGAGTGCTCCGTCTCTCTTTACCGCACAGAGCACCTGGCGATGGCCACAGAGTGCCGTTAGAGGCTCCACAAAAAAAAAACAGAGGAGTTCAGTTTCCATGCCAGATAACAGCATTTAGGCGGAAGCTTTGATGTGTTTACGGACCTTCCTGATAGCTGAATGTAGATATTATTTGCTCAGAACCTCCTACAAAGATCAGACCACACAGGCAGAGCCCTGATGGAACCGGAAAACACTCTGGTCCCTTATGAACCTGTTCATGCGTGAGCACCAGCTCCTGTGGGTTTAGAATAAAGATCGAACCACTTTAATCCAAACTGACTTTGAGACATCATTTTTTTTCTTTTTTTAAAAAGGTGGGGACGACAAAGGACAACCCAGCCCGTCACAACACCAGTGGTTCAGCTGCGGTGGGAACTGTGAGAGGAGTCGGACAGGAACACTTTCAATGCACAGCGAAGGCCGACTGGGACCGAACTTCCTCTTCAGTCTGCTACGTGAGCCATTGGCTCATTTCAGCCCCCTGGACCCGTCTAACCCAACAACAAAATAAAAACATAAGCATTGTTTAGCCAAACAATGGGCCACTCTCAATGTCTCAAAAGCCTTCGGTTTCACGTCCAAGGCCGGCACTTGAAGTCCAGCATGGCAATAAATAACTTCACAATATGATGGGAGCTTTTTTTGTACAGTTATAAAATACCAGGCGGATACAATTTCACTGTTCGTGAATCGGAGAGAGGAACAGGTGCAGCTGGACAGGACAGAGCAAAGGACAGGAGCATCTCTACAGAAACGTTCACAAACTAAATCACTTTTCTGACTCTTTGCTTTAGCAAAAATATTATCATTTGCTCACCAAACATTTCCCCCTCTACCTTTATACCCAGAAACAAAGCCCTATGCAGGTTAAACAACTAAAGGGTCACATCGTTTAACGTTTGAGGTTTTGATAAACTTAAAGGCGAAAGGGAAACTAAGTGGACCAAAAGAGCGAGAGAAAACACAAACCTTTAGAGAGTTTTGGTCAGCTAGAGAAAGCGCCTGCTTCTTCAGCTCTGAGACTTTCTGCTGACATTGCTGGCAGAACCCCCCTTTCTCCGGCTCGGGGATGGAGACTGAGCCGGCGCCCTCGGGAGCAGGCCGGCTGCTGCATCGCGCTTCCTCCGCGGAGAGAAGTCTCCTCCGCGGGGTGACCGGAGACTCTCCACCGGGACATCCCTCCACCTTCGGCACAAAATGTTAAACTTCAGGCATCCTTCAAGCAACAAGAAAAAGCAGCAGCTCTACATTTTAGGGCGTGCAAGTGTGTTTGGGAAGTAGTTGCTTTGCACCTTGGCTGTGCGTTTGGACGCACAACACCTGAAGCAGCACCCAGCAGAGCTGCAGGTCAAGAGGGAAAGAAAAAAAAAAGAGGCAAATCGCCTTTTCACGCACGGTCACGGGCAGTGACAACTTACGGTGAACACGCGGCTGTGAGTGTCCTCTCCATCAGTGGCCGAACTGCCCCCGAACGCGCTCATTCTCCCTGGCTATAGGTTCTACCTTTCAGAGCATGTCTCCGTGGAACTCAAAAGCTTTGCCGCTGAAAAACGCCAGGCAGAGGCGTGCGGGCTACACGCCAGGACCTGACCACAGCCTACCGGTCATCTGCCGCACCGGACCTGCGTCTGCGGAGCCACTCTACAAGTTCCCAAGTGGCGCACAAGTTTTGGAGCAGGAGGGGGGGGGGGGGTGCGCAGCGGTGCGCAAAGGAGGCGGTGTTACTCGTGGAATGGGAGGGCCTATGAAAGTCTTATGAGAGCTCTGATGGGACGTTTGGCTGCTCTGAAATGGCCTGAGAGACAAAAGTCTCCCCCAAATAACGTAATTCAAGTATTTCCTCTCATTTTGTCAAGTAATTTGGCTATTATTATAGAGACGCTATATACTTTTCTATGTGCTGTCATTTGAAGTAACTCTGATCATACTAGAAACTGAAATATAGTCTGCTACAGACTTTACCTACTCATGCTTTTTATGCCTGTATTAAAGAAATAAATCTGTATTAACTTTATCGACGCTTTAATAGATTGTTTTGCGAAATTTATGCGAAGAACAACCTTTTTGGACAACTTTAAAAACATGTAAAAAAATTTACTTGTTTTTGCCAACAATTAGCATAAGTGATCTTGGGTTTGGTCAGTTTAATTCCAGGCCACCTCAGCAACTGTTGCCTCTCCCAACAGGCGCAGCGCGGAGCTCCGTGGATGGGCCTCTGGCGCCATCCTCCGGCAGAAAACACGGAATAGCATCTCCGTGGGAAAGGGGGTGGTGCACTGTACAGTAGGTTTAATATTTAATTAGTCAACTTTGAATTTTTCATGCGGGTGATGTAAGGGTCAGTAGCCGCATGGGGTTCTGCCCCCCCACATTTTTTTTTTTTTTTTTTTTGTCCTTGAACAACGTCTAAAGAGCTCCTTCTCCCCAATTGTCTTTAGATCGTACTTTGCTGAAATCCTCCCAAATGAAGGATGCTGTGAGGTTTTTAATTTATATTTGAGTTCAGAAAGGTAAACTGCTCTGTATTTTGTATTGTAGATCATAGACTTTAGAAGCCTGAGGATTTTCTTGACATTTGTAGCTGGGAATCAGATAAATTGATTCATATTTTATTGTAGCCTGAAATGCATTTCTAGAACAATTTGTTATCAATTTTAAATTCCACAGTTGGTTTGCAAAGGAACTTTTCCTATTAATGTCAAGCTTTAAGTGTTGCGTGTATATGTTCAATAATCCCTTTTTACAGAAATAAAAGTTAAGTCCATTTTATTTGCTGAGAGAAGAAGGTGTTGAAAAGGACAAGCTGATCAAGTCTAATGAAAGGGGCTGCGGGCGGTACGAGGTGCCAGCCAGGGTCTGAATGCTGGACAGTGGCGCACAGGATTTCTCCTCACAATCCCCTTGACTTGAAAATGTAGCTGTTGAAAGATAACAAAAACAAAAAAAAAAACAATTTAGGAGTCTCTTACCTTTGTTTTTCTCTTCAGCAGGTGACTTGTGAACCCAAATATGATGTCGGAGTCCACAAAGATTGTCCCCAGGTCTATGACGCTGGGGTTGGGTTTCCCAGCTTCGGGAGAACCCCGTGAGTTTGGCAAAGCCATGCCGGCTGCAAGCGCTCCCTTGAAAATATTCCTCTCCCGGGCAAACCTACTTTTCTTGTAGATCCATTAAATTCACATATCTCGAACCCCCTAAAAAGATCCGCAAGGTTTTTTAATCCGGACATTCAGTGATTTGCGGTGAGCTCTCGCACGTGTGCGTAAAATAATCTCTCGGATATCCAGAGGTCTGAAAAGAACCGGATCCAATCCCTCCGGCATGCAAATGAAGGGGGTTTATATCCACTGCAATAGTTTTTAAGCCATCCCGGAGCCGTGCACGCCGGATCTGTGAGCGCTGCGGCAGGTTTTGGAGTGACTGGGGAGCACCTTGTGCGTCTGCTGCGCACTGATCTCCAGCCCCTCTCCCGGTCCCCCACACCTCCCCTCTCACTCCGCCATCCTCTCTCTCCCCTAAGCTCCCCAGTCAGACAGTGATGACCTGCTCTGTTGCCTGATTTGCTGCTGCGTCGTAGTCATCCCCCCCCAAAAGCAGCTCTAGACAGTAACCACTAATATCTGACTCCCTGTATGCTCACATCCCCTGTATGCTCCTCTAATGTGCCACATAAGACATAAGACACCAAAGCCTCTCCGTTATTTCTGTCACATGCAATATTCCTATTCCTTCATGATGCTCTGCCACTCTTATAGCGTTGATGAAACCATAAGAGAGATTTCTCATTTATGTGGCCTCCAGCAGCTACGATTCAGATTACATTTGACTTAATTGCAGTCTCAACCCCAATTGAGTCCATCAGCCTTCAAATGGAAATATTCAGGAAGGAACAAGGTACTTCAGTATGACTTAATCAACTAGTGTGGCTGATACAGATTGCAAACATTTTGTGTGATGTATATAACAAAGAAGCTCTTTATCCCTTTGCCAGTCGATAATATATGAATAGTTGTCACCTTTTCCAGCAGGCTGAGGCTACTTATCCTATAGATTGAGAATGGGGGGCAGTGGTTTCTATTTTATTTAATGGAACCATTATAGGCTTAGTGAACTCTAATAAGTGCAGTTTATCCCGTTTTTTTGCGAGGAAAGGACATTGAAGACTTAATCCAAAGGGAGCTTTCTCAGCTCACTTTTCATTTGGAAATGTGAACTAGTTTATTGAAGCTGAAAATTAGAGGGGAAAAAACTGTAATGATGATGTCATCCACAAGGAGCCACTCCACGTGGACAGCATATGAGAAAGACACATGGACTCCTTTTTCTGCTGCATAGAAACAGCTTTTAAATAAATGTGTTATGAATTTGGGTAAAAAACAACTAAACTATACCAAAAGTCGATTCTTTGGGAATATACACATTTTCCATGGGAGAGTCAGCAGACCTCAATGCTTGCACAGTTTGATTCGAGATATTTTATGGTTTTGATATTTTAATATTTAAAGAGTTGATATAATGCTTCCATTTAAAATATTTTTAGAAATATGTATTGCTGTTCTTTCAGATTTCAGTATAATGTAATCTTAACTCGTAAAACTAGATTTTTTTATTATGCACAGAACAGACCAAAAACTGAAGGAAGATGATGACTTGTTGAGGTGTTTGAATCAATTTATGTTAATCATTTGTAGTTGGAACGAAGCATTCATTTCGTGAAGGTTGAAAGGTCAACGGGACTCAGAGAGACAAATGTTTGGATTTATTTTTATTTTTTCCACCACAACAGAAAAGCATCACAACTAACAGCAATGCTTAAACAAGCAGAATGGGGTAAATAGATTATATTTGATGGCTGAAGAGTGAAGAGCATATTTTTTTAAACTAAATCTTATCCTGGTATCACATTACTGCTTCCCTTAACCTACCTCACACACACACACACACACACACACACACACTTTTGGATGACATTTGTTGTCAGTAGGCTGATAATTGGAATCCAAAGTAAAGATTATTTACCACGTCCATCACCCTGCTCTCCCCTCTGCAGGAGGCAGGCTGCCCCCCCCCCCCCCCCCCCCCCCCCCCCCCCCCCCCGGGCGGGGCCCCCCCCCCCCCCCCCCCCTCCGGTCGCAGATGAAATTCCGGGGACGGGATCCCCCTGGGACCGTGCGCCCTGTTACATCTGCTGCCCTTGTGCACGTACAGGCAAATGGCTCTGGGCATCTCATTAATGCCTCTCCCATGTCTTATCCCTTATCCACTGCCTGTGAGACCCCTGCCTCTCCTCCCGATGCACGAACAGGCTTTGTGAGAAACGTTTAGCAAATATTGATAGTTCTTGGTGCATGGGAGAGATCAAAGCAAAGGGGAGAAGGGGGCTGTCTAAAAGGGGAGAGTGGGGAATAAATGGTGCACACTGCTTTCATGAATGATTTATGCAATATAAAGTAGCCTTACTGCTTGGGAAAAGGAGCGTTTGGATTTTCTTGAGTCAGATCTAAGTTTTCAGTTCTGGTTTTTCTCACAAAACCTCTTAAAAAACATTTGGGTTTGTTGGTTAATTCAGTCATTTTCAACACAGCTGACTATAAATGTCTTGAATCACCGAGACCAGACACAGAGTACAGAGTAAAATGTCAAAGGAAATAGTTCTTTGTGATGCAGATGTCAATGACAAAATGTCCTAAAGCAGCTTAAGTGCAGCATTTGTTACACTCCGATAAAAATAAAACGTGTCACCAGCAATAATCTCTCTCTGTTTTTAGGAGATCACATGGAAAATGACACCATATGCGAGTGGAATTGCTATTTTACCACAGCAGCCATTTTCAGTACTTTGGACAGAGACCATCCCGGCAGACTCAGGGTCCATCATCCCCCACAGACTCATCGGAGAGGAATGGTTCTTTATTGACTTGTTTTAATCAGTACCTCTGAATAGTCGTTACAGTAAAACAGGAAAAAAAAAGACATGTGTAACCGCACCAGCAGAGCTGTTAACATTTTTGTGAGGGTGCCAGTCGAATTAAATGACTAAAGCCTAATCATTTTTTACAATCCCCCACAGTTCCTGGTGCTGCAGGTGCGAGTGAGAGAAACACAAGGGGGCACAATGACAGAAGGAGACACAGGGAGGCACAAAAGAGACAGGAAAGCATGAGCAAACTGGTCACTTGCTCCAAAGTTTTCAAAAGCACGGCCGTTGGACCTGGTTTCCTTCTTCCTGTGCGTCCGAAAGGCAGCAACGGCGTTCCTCAAAGCTGGCAGCATTTGTCTGACTGGTCAAGTGGTCCTAAACATTTCACAATTTTCTCAAAGAACTGTTGAACTGTTGAGAACCACTTAATCAGAACGACAACACATTTCCTCATTATCCCGTCCGTCAGCGAAACTGTTTATCCCACTGGTAACAGAAGAAGAAAAAAAAAGGTGCTAAGTTAAATTCTGAGGAAAACAGCTAAAGTTCTTGTTAATTAGATTTCAAGCTGAGCATGCTACAGAACAAAATCCACACATAAACACACAGAGGCTCCGGCCAAGATGATTCTGAGTCGGAGGCTTTACCTGGTGAGCGGGCCTTCTCTCGCTGCTGCCGTGTTTCTTTCAGCCATCCCCTTCCAAGACTGAGTGACTGCAGAGGTACGCTGGCTTTATATAGCATTTTGGGGCTAGGCTCATACAAGCCTCTCATTCAAGCAAGAATGAGGCCCATGCTGGTCCGACCGGATGAGCTGGGTTCTGCCGGCACAGAGCAGGACGGGGCATCCACCCTCATGACAAAGACAGCAAATACCAGCAACCTGAAGCCGACATGTCACATGAACAGATTTTAAGTCACCGCTGCCTTATAGCTTTGTGATTTCTGATTAAAATGTCATTTTTGTAATTGTCAGTAAAAGCTTACCGACGTCTGTGTGACAGGTTTTGTCTGGATTTGAGGTTTCCGCTAAAGGTTTGCTACCTTCACGAAAGTGTGATTACTGTTCAGAGCACATTTCCCGATTGAATACGCAGCACTAAGCTCCAAAAATGGGTAGATTTGCCCTAATTCATGCAGGATAAACAGCTCAAATAAAAAAATCTAAGAGAAATGTTTGATCAGGGCTGTTGCATGAACAGTTTCATGTGAGTTTCTGGTGTTGATGCAAGACAGGAGACATTTCTTGTAAAAGAATAGTTTTATTTTCTTTTGATTTTTTTTTCAAACTACAAGCAAGACCACAGGGATACTTTAGTCTGCACTGAATTTTCTTTGAAAAACAACAGTGAGACAGTGGGCCTCAGCAGGGTACAATTAAAGTGATTAAGATACAATCACAAATCCTGGACAAATTTAAAAAGTCGATCATATCAAAGAAGCGTAGCAGCAATTATTGCTTTTGTCGCACAAAGAGGAGAAAGGTACAGTCAGTAGTTTACTTATAAGAATACATGAAACATGTCAGGAAATATTAGGGAACACAAAAATTTTTTATCTTTTAGACCTTTATCAAACTCAAAATGGTCTGGACTTCCCCTTTCCGTTTCACAGTACAAGATATGCGACAGGTCCAGCTTGTCGATCAGCACCTGAAACAGGCTGGTTGAGTCCCGGAGATACCTGCAGGTTTTGGTGATCCCTGCAGAGCGGCACTAAGCTCAGCTTTAAGTGCTCTGGTTCTGTTTGTCTGAAGTGATTCATAATGCAGTTTGAATAATAAAACTCAATGTTTTCAAATTTCCCATCTTCCTGTCTCAAATAAGAATTCAAATAAAATCTCTCAATTTACCCTGTGAACACAAAACACTGCTTTGGACAAACATCACTTTTTTTGAGTGACATTAAAATATTCGGCTCAGATGGAGTTGACCCTTTGTTCCTTTTGTTCACTGACAGTTACACAAACATTTGATTAAAACATTTAAAGTGTTAATGCCTTTCATACATAGATCTCCATAGAGATTTTCAAAAAATAGTAGCAGTTGAACATGACGGACGGTGATTAAAGGATGGCAGAAAACAGATGGACGGAGTGTCATGGGCCTGGACAGCGCGGGCTCAACGTCCAGCCGGGGGGGCCGTGAACTCGATCACTAAACCACCCTGCCAAAGAAGCAAACAGAGACAGAATCATCATGGAGCACAAGTGGGGAAGGAATAACTAAGACTGTCTCATAATGACACGAGCACGACAACACACACAGGTCAGCCTCACGTGCACAGCTTCAGGATCTACAGGCCGTTTGGGAGACCACGATCTGAATGGGTTCTGATGGAATTGTTCCTCAAAGGGAATGATTAATCAGCTCACTTTTTTTTTTTGTTTAAATCATCATTTATCTTTTTGACTGTGAAGCATGCTCATCATAACATCCACAGAGTTGAAGAGTTGATAGAGCTTAATTTGTCACTGGTGTGAAAAGGAAAACAGCAAATCCTCACGTTTAAGATCCTGGTTCAAGGATGAGGTGTCTGACTAATTCGAGAAGGGATTAAGTGATAATTATCAACATTTGTCATCATTAGTTTTCTATTTGTCAAGATCTATAAAGAAAAAACATTTCAATGAGCATTTATGGGGGTTTAAATGTCTAATGCTCTCTTTTAATCTCTAACACATAAAAAGTGATTTTCAGCTACAGGTTCTTTTTTGTTTTCTTACTCTCTTTCAGCTTTTCTTTATTTTGATTTATGGGTAAAATGGCTCTCCAGTGGATGCGGGTGGGAGCATGTTTGCTTGTCTACATGTTTAAGCGCAGCCCAGGTTCAGAATGCGCCTCCACAGCAGCTCGGGACACACACTCCACTGCAATGAGCGGGACGGGTTTTTACTAAATAAAGGGAGGGAAGGGTGGATGACAAACAAACACCGATGTGGAGAAGAGGGGAGTCAAAGCAGCCATGCTCAGTATGGGGAGGTGTGCAGGCTGTGGTTCACAAACATGTTCGCTGCATCTCATTTACCTCATCGTCATCATCATCATATTTATCATACTCTCTAAAATCACCAAAAAACCTCTGAAATTGAACAAGACAAGTGATTGAGAATAACTTACAGACAAAAATAACCATGCGAGCACTTTAAACTCTTCCAAGATTTAGAGACATGAGGCTAAATGGACGGCGATCATTACCTGGGGCTTATTGTTGATGAGCTGGACCAAAAACGCCATCACCTCCCTTCGGCCGGCAGCTTCGGCCTGTAACAGAAGAATGAGACGTTTCATTATATAAAACTTAAGCGTGTTTGTAAAGCAGAGCCTGCCGGCCTCACACCCACCACTTGAATGGCCGTCCTTCCATCGTAGCCCGGTTTGCTCAGATCTGCCCCAGCAAGGCTCCAGTTTTCCAGACCTTCCAGGTCCCCACTGACTGCCAGGCTGACACACACACATAATAACACTTTTATTACAGAAAATTAAGCAGCGGATCAAAAAAAGGGTTTCTGGGTGAAGGAAAAGGTTATGGGAAGAGATTTTCTGTGATTGAGCCCAGCATATCAATGGAACAAATCACATTACTGTTGGGCCTCATGACAGTCTTATCTTGACAGTGATACAAGTCATGCTTGTTGCACCTTCCCAAAGGTGTGTTCCTAAAAAAATTTTAAACACAACTGTCTTGACGAAACTTGTTTTGTGCGTCTGGTGTAGATAAGTAACCGGGGCCAGTCAGTGTGTCCTACACCAAGAGATACTAGAGATGCAAATCACACCAAAAGTTATGCTGCCAGGGAGCATTCCTCCTCTTTGTGTCACAGTGGGACAACTGGTTGTGCCTGTGTTAACTATGTAGGATGGGTCAATGGTAATGGAAGAGCAACTCAAAGGCCTGTACAGTTTTTTAAAAAAAGGACACGCTATTCTTTTGGCCTGTCTAACCTGCACAGTTCACTTCCTGCTTCCTCCAGCTGGTCTCTGGAGAGGTGAGCTCCGGTCTTTCTCAGCAGCTTCACGGTATCCTTTTGCCTAAATTAGACAAAGTTTAGAAATAAAACATAGTTCAGATTATCCAATAACTCTAATCACTCAATTCAAACCACAGAAAAAACATCCTCCGATGAGTGTAATTAGCGTTTTAGAGGGAGCAGGTCACATCTCTGTTTTAACCTTGAGTTATTTAAAATCGTATCGCTTCAAAGAAAATGTGTTACCTCTAATTTAAAGCAGTGTCCTGTGGTATCAGGCTTTACAGAATGTAAAAGGGTTGTGAAAAAATTCTACAAAGTGGGGCCTCTTTTAATAATAGGCCAAGAGTCAGATTTCTGTCAGTTACGTCTGTATCAGAACGAGATCATAAAAGAAGTGGACTCAAGATTTGATCTGTAGCCCTGTGACTCCTGCTTTATCTTGCTGTTGGACAAGGATCTTTGTATTTCTCTTTTATTTCAATACTTTAGGTACAAACTGTTAGAGCTCTGGTGTTCACAGTCTTCTTCCTTTTCAGATCTAAATCCATGGATCCTGATTGAAAACCTTGGTGCCTATACTGGTGCCTTTTCCAAAGTATGTTTAATCTATTTTTGAGGGGGAAAAAATGGAATATTTCAGTGATTTTTGGCCATATATGCGTCTATGTCAATGATTTCCAGCATTTAAATTTTGACTCTTAATGGGAGAGTCGGTGTGGAAATACTTGTTTATGGGCAAGTAGGAACAAGTCCCATGTCCCCTGCATTGAGCCACCCCCACAGGACACCTGTAGTGACAGTAACTACAACAGAGTAGTCGAATCTCCACTGGGCTGTACAGTTCATAAATAACATGGCTTTTAAGTCAAAAGAAAAAGTTCAAGCTCGTTAGGTCGTTTCTAAGCCCAGAAAAAGGGACAGAAACAGCTGAAGGGACACAGACGTCCTTCTAAAAATGGAGGAGCGAATAGCTCTCGTCTGTGAAACTGGGAGCTGGCTGGTAGGACTGGTTCCGAAGGCACTCCCTACTTTTGTTCTTTACCTTTCTCTCTCTCCGTCTCGCTGCCTCTCCTTATATGGGCACGAGGCCGTGGAGCAACGTAAAATGGCGGCAACAAAAAAACAACAACAAAAAATGCATCAGACTCAAAAACTCCAGTTTAATAGGGCCGCTTGGTGTCGTTTCAATGGGGCGTTAAAGGCGGGACCAGTTCACCCGCAGCTGTGGCGGGGCGTCGGAGTATCACTGCTCCAGAGCACCCCTCCGCCATCACAAAGGAAACAAGTCCACGCTTGCAGTGCCGACCGTTAAAATAAGACAACAGCCATTTGGCACGGCTGTGACGCATACGGCTGCAGCCCGAGGCATCAGCGAGAACATTAAGTGTGGCTATTCCCTCGCAGGCGCTGGGAGCAATGTCACTGAATGATGAAAATAAAATTGAAAAATGAAAAAGACTGCTTTGGTAAAAATAAACACGGCCCAACCTGTCAGATGACGATTGCCATAATTAGCTCATAATAATTGCCCAACCTCAAAACTTCATTACACGAGTTGCTCCCCTGGTTTCAACCCTTCTCTCACAGCCACTGCTCCCTTCCCATCACTTAAGCAGCTCCTGATTTCCTACCTTGCAGCAGCTCATTAAATGAAATCTCCTCCACAGCAGCTATTAACCGCTTATTTTCAGGACACGCTCAGACGTCTATGAAGAATAACAATTGTTGCTAATGGCCAAATGGGGGATTTCAAATGTCTGCAACTTCACGAAAGACATCATTGCCTTAATGGACAGATAAAAACAAATAAAGCAGCCAGCTTTACGACTCACCTGAAGCGGACTGCGTTGGACAGGGGCGTGTCTCCGTAACGATCCTTGGCGTGGACGGAGGCTCCGTTCTCAAGTAGATACTGCACCATTTTCAGGTGGCCGTCAGAGGCAGCAACATGCAGAGGTGTGCGTCCATCGTAGTCACCCAGACACAAGTTACTACCCTGGGACGAAAGCAAATCATGCCTGTGTGTAGCCAGAACCATTGAGGAGGATTTCAAGGTTATCAGTGGAGGCCCAGTTTTAAAATCCGAGCATCGGTCACATATTGATGAACAGGAGTAATTAGTCGTGTATGCTGAACTACTATGGCCAACTGTTTGAAGACTAGCCTTTTTAGAAAGTCTATGACAGCGTACACATGTATTGAACCCATGCGAGGACAGAAATCACGACTTGTCCTGATGTAAAGTCAGCGGTGACATCATGTCAGCCACGCCACTCACAAACATTTACACGGGACTACTGGGAAGACTTCATTCCTGCCATAACAGTGTGTCCTTCAGTTCTGCTCAGCTTCGTGTTTGCTGTAGCGTACTAATATGAGATGAGTGACCCTGGGCATTTTTGGGAAATCAGCTAAAGGTTCGTCTGAGTGCACTGACCCTTAAACCCAAACCCGATAAGATAAGAGAGCTGGACAGGTGGAAGTGTTTCCTTCAAAGCTGAATATTAAGTTTCTAAAATACTGTATAGTTTTTTTTTTAAATGATCCCTGCTTAGGTGGATTTAAACTTAAGATCAGGAACTGATTAGATATTCTAAACGTGAAAAAATAGGGACGATTACCATTTCTCTGAGGGCATCTAGAGCCTCTATGTCTCCACTCTTAGCAGCAGCACAGGCCAGAGGAGGAGTCAGAGCGTTCCGGATGGCTGCCAGCTCCTTTGGACACAACGCAATCAGAACTGTGTCATGACAAGGTGATACTGATATTGCGCTGGACTTTGTGAATGAAAAAAGTCTTGCTGCCCTCACCTCCCTGCAGCTGATGCTCAGCGTCTTGGCGATGAGCTGGATGAAATGGCTGTTGCTCAGACACAGTTGGGATCCTTGAAATTCATTGGTCATCTCACCTCGCAGGTTCTGAGCCATCAGCTGCACAGAGCGACAGAGACGAGGAGGGATTGAACAGGTTAGTTTTATATGGCCGTGGAAAAACAAAACCAGAGAGCTAAGTCCCCGGAATAATGAGACCAACCTTTTTCTTTGCACTCAGATCTAGCTCGTTCTTGGCCAGCACATAGGAGAGTTTGGACAGGGCAGCCTCTGGGGTCATGTCCCCACCAGCGATCAGGCCTGCCTCCGCCAGCACCTGAAAATGATTGGAGGAAGCCGTCTGATTGGTTCCTTTCACCCCAAATGGAAACTTTCTCAAACGCGTGATCTAAACAAAGCAGGTGAACTAACTACCTGGCCGGTGGCGTAGGAGGCTGACACCGTCCCCTTCAAGCACTGCGTGCAGTTGATCATGATGACGCCATCGTCCGTGGCCTTCTTCAGCACGGCCAGCAGGTCGGGACGGTTATCCGGGGCGTTCCCGCTTCCGTAGGTCTCCAGGACGACCCCCCTCATGGGCGCCTGCAGGAAAGCGTTCACCTGGAAACAGATGGGAGCCGTTTCACATTACGAAGCACCCCGAAATTTACGGCCAACTAAACCGCGTGGATCCCAAATTGAAAAATTAGCATTCCGTGTTATTTTTCCTGCAGCGCATCTCACTCCTGTGCACGAGACCACCTTCTCTCCTAAAAGCCCATCTGGTCCCGTCTCTGCAACCAGTAACTCAGTCGCTGGTTGGCTGCCTGGCACTCATTAGCCATGGCATATGACGAGCATGGCAGATGACTTAAACGGCAGAAAGGAGAGCAATTAATCTGAAGCTATTAGCACACATAAAGTCACTTGGCAAGTCCTGAGCAGCTACACTGGAAGAGGAAGGGGGTGACATTACCGGTGCCAGTTTGTCGTGGAATTTTTTTGGGTGTTTGACAAGAAAGGCCTGAAACCGGGTTGCCAAACAAGCTTTTCATATAGCAGAGATCACACAAGAGCCTGGTGCACCGGTCAAAACAAGGCAGTTTAAGGCTGTAAGAAAGCCTTAATAGCCGAGTTGGGCTGTGGGAGCAGATTGAGACAGTAAAGTAACTCTCCCGGCAGCCTCTGCGGGGGGGGGGGGTGCTGCTGCATGGTACAGTATCCGTGCCAATCCTCCCTTTTTACAGCGTGATTGGACATGGTCCATAACGTCGTCTCATCTTTCCCAGGCCTGAGCCTTTGCTGGCAGTTTACACGAGCAGGAAAGTAGCAGAAGATGGTAAATTAAATTGAAGTTAACTCTGCTTTATCATTGTTCACCAAAAACAACAATCTATTACCGCTGAAGACTATTTAACTTTAGGTGTTTTTTTGCTGCACCGAGAAGAGAAATCAGCAGCGGCGCGGCTCTCAGACTGACACGACACCTGGCCTCCAAAAACTGGACTGTATGCAGGCCAGGAAATGTATAAAACCATGCCAGAAACGTTTCTGCTATAAACCCCAGTGCGTATGAAAGTGACTACTAGTCACTACAAAGTGGCTAATCCTGATGCCTAAATCTATAGAAATACAAAGACACCGTACTCTGGAAAAGCTACTTTAGAAAAGTGGGTGGTAGCTTTCTAAGCTGAGTCCACACAGATCATCGGACCAACTGAGCGTACACTTATCTAATCCTGAGTTTTCACAGCCACAACACGGTGACCGGAGTGGAAACATTAGTCCGGCAACAGTTTGAGGAGAGCTCGTGTTCTGTAATCGGAATCCAGGCCGGAGGTTGTGGACCGGCGCCGGTCAGCGCGTTTTGAGCCCAGCTGGGACTTCACAGCTCTGCCGGCACATTGTCAAGCCACCTTAGTTTCTATAAAAACCAAACTGTGAGCGCAAAATGCCACAGACAACATTTTAGCAGCTTTATACATGAGGCATTAATAGTTATACATTAATAGTTGCTCCACACCGGCTGTTTCTTTTAAATGCCTCCTTTTTATAATACTTGGCAGATGACGTTAACTGAACAGTCGAGCAAAATTTTGACTTTTACTGAGACAAATGTCTCACCAATCACAGACGTATGCTTGTTTCTGAGCTTTTAAGAAATTGAACAGAAAGGAAAAGTCTGGCATGAAAGACCTCTGAAAAGAGGAGTCCCTGCATGAGCAGGGCCTGCTGATCATGGTCAGGGGTTCGTCTGGAAGGATTTACTTCCTCTTGTGTAAAAAACCCCAAAAACAAACGCCAATCCGAAACTGACTTACGGAAGAGGCAGTGATTCCTGGAAACAGCCTGAGCAGACCCACGTTGCGGTTCAGCTGAGTGCTGACTTGAAACTTCGCTGTGGTGTTTGCCCTCCACACCGTGTCCCAGTTGACTGGAGGGAAGATGAGGAGGGGGGGATGGAAAATGCATCTCTCTGAACACATTTCTGAACATCCAACAGGAGTCTGTTTACTTACTTGTAATATCCACTTCAGCTATGGCAAGAGGAGCCAAGTTAGGGGAGGCGAAAGCATTGAAACTCCCGGCATCCACCTTAGTCACACGATTCCCTCGATAGAGTTTGTTGTAGAAATACAAGCACACCTGAAAAGATAAGAGCAAACGGCTCAAAGGGTGGAAACGATTGACCAAAGTCCTTTCAAAACACAGTTTTCTTGGTAGTTCTTGCTTTCAGACTTCATTTTTACTCATGTCTTTTCTTTGGAGGGCTCTGCTTCATAAAGAACAGCCACGTCACTATCTGACAAATTAACTATCAAGTTAGAGCCATTTTTATTAGTTCAAACTCAATAACTCAACAGACGCGGCATAAATAGATGGCTTTGCACTTGACCATAGAGAGATGTGACGGATGTTTTCAGATTTCAAAGTGAATTATGACACTGCAGAGGTTTTACACACATGTTAAATATTCATTACTTAGTAACAATGTTAAGACGCAGCTTTTATAGGTTCATATATGTTGCATGAGCTTTAAAAAAATAGTTTTTTTTTTCATATCATCAAGTACCATTTGACTAAAATATTTTACCAAACAGTGTTTTCCTTGTTAAGGAAGTTGTTGCAAACTTTAATGTAAAGAACAAAGCGATTCACTTGGGTTGGGGAGAGTTCAGGTTGACATGCAGCGCTCTGACAGACACGGCCTCTGCTGCATGCTGGCAGAGCTTAAACTCTGCCGTTCCAGTTCTGTAACCACTGCTCGCTGTTGCGAAACCACTCGCGGTCATTGGAAAGCATTCATCTCATCAGACCAGTTACTTAAGTGGCTGTTTGTAACCTTTTACACGCTAACAGCCTTCACGTGCATATTTGAGGAGTGTGGCATATTTTTTCCGTCGTAATCCCAGATGTACTTCTTAAACTTATATTATTTCTTTGAATCTGAATTGTGTATAACTACTTAAATCATTTTGGGGGATCCTTATTTAAACACAATTATCACCTCAGGAATGACAAACTGTCCAGCGATTAGCAGCGCCCCCAGGAGGTTGTCCCTGCCATCGTTCTTCAGCTCATAGATGGGCACCTGAGCACAGGGAGTCATCGGTTTAAATTCTGCAGACACATCTCCCAAAATTCTCAGTCAGCCTACTGTCGGCAGCAGCCCTTACCTGGGAGCCGGTAAGAACGACTGGCTTGCCCAAATGCTCACACATGAAGGACAAGGCGGAGGCTGTGTAAGCCATGGTGTCGGTGCCATGAAGGACCACAAAGCCGTCGTAGCTTTCGTAGTTTTTCTGCAGTGAGATAACAACACAAAAGACATTGGATGAACTATGGAGTACTACAGGATCCATGCATGGCCAGATTTTTTTTTTTTTTATTATCAGAGGCACCCAGTCATTGTCAGGTGTTTGTCAGTCAACAAACACCAGACAATGACATGATTCCAGCAGAATGTACCTCAATGTCCTTTCCAATTTTGACCCAGTCCTCTGTGGTCATATTGGAAGAGTCCAGCAAAGGATTATACTCCAGGATGGTGTAGACAATCCTCTTCTTTGATTTACTCAGCCTGAAAAAGAAAAGAGTTTAGTGTCAGTTCAGTTCCCGACTGTGTGAGTAAACTCAAACGGTTACATTTATATAACAAACATGGTGATGTTAGACATGCATTCTCACCCAAACACCCCATTAAATGCAGAGTGAAAATGATTATCTGTGTTCACTTTCATTGAAAAGAAAGTAGAACCAATTTATTCGGTGCTTTTGCCTTTCAAGCCAAACATGACTTATGAGCTTCGTCCACATTTTAAGGACATGCAAACAGTTACACTTAGAAGATATGAGATATTAGGGCAAAGTCAATGATTCCTGATAAAAAGAGATGGCTAGCCCCAATTAATTTTGTTTAGTATTTCCAGTTTAGACACAGACTGTGAAGTAAAAGACATGGGCAGGAAAGGGGGTTTAAAGTTTAATAATGCTAAAATGTTAACGTTTATAAAAAAAACAACTATCTGGTTGGGCCTCGAGTCGGCAGCAGAGCAGCCGAAACCCGTTTCAGGCACACAAAGAATTTTGAAGGAGGAAAGGGAAAGGTGTTGTCCTACGGGTCTAGAGAGAAGAGCTATTGTTTACCACAGTGAGGACCTACAGTAGTGTGGAGCGATACCACGGCGGCCGGAAAAGAGAGGCAATGCGGTGGGCTACATAGTTACAGAAAAGTTCCGGAAAAAACCTATGTCTGTGTCTTTCCAAATAATTGTGAGTATCCACAATAACTCAAACTCGGGCGTCCTACCGGCAAACTCCATTTAAGGCAGCGGGACTGTCTCAACGGCCACGGAAAGAGTCTCATTCTAATCTCTCCTTTACAGAGAAAGAGCTGGGCACCCCCCGCATTAACACGGGGCAGCCCTGTCACATGGAGATAGGAGCTGAAAGGAACAGCAGGGGGAAGAGCAACCCGGGGTCCTACAGACACTCCTCTAATTAGCCTTAAGTCCACACACACAACCCTCCAACCAAGACACAACGCCACAAGAAAAAACTCCAATCCCCAATTATTCATCTATCTGGCGGTGCGCCCCCAGGTGTAACAAAGCTACGCATTAGAGGCCTCATAATCTAAGATCATAAGCACAAATATACGTGTACGTAAATGCGTGTGTGTGTGGGGGGGGGGTAGGGAGCAGATTGGCTTTGTGATGCGTCTTCAGATTTGTGTGAATAAGGCTTTTCAATAAATCAATCAACCTGTTCCCTCCTCAGAACTAAGTTTTAGACATAGGCTTTGCAACACCAACAAACTCACTGAAGGCAAATCTTATGACCGGAGACTATTTTTTTTTTAAAAGAGCTGTAAAGCAGACGATCCAGTAAAAGGAAGCTCCTGGGCCCATAAACGGATTCGGAGCGGCTCCAGAAGGTTCGCTTTGAGCTGGGCACCACAGGGAACACTTTGGTTTTATAAATACAGGCCGCTCCGCCCTGCATAAAGGGGGGACCTAGTTCCCTCGTTGTCAATCAGGACCCAGTTGGTCATCAGCTGGGAGCCCTGACCACTGTCAGCGCTCCACCGCACAACACCATGCAAATGAAAATCACCCAAAACATACAAGTAGGCATGCTAAACAGTAGCTTCTCCCCGTTTTTTTGTTTTGTTTTAATTGACAAAAATTTGAAAGAACATTTTCTTTCTCAGCTTTCTTAATTAGCTTTATCCCCTTCAGGCAGCTGGCCTGCTGGTAAGAGAACCCGCATTAGCAAAAAAGCAGAACTAAGACACAGAAATACTTCAGGCAATGGCCAGAGGCCACATCGACGTGCGTGTCCTGTCAGAAGAGCACACCCTGACGTTTGGTCTGGAGCACTGCAGGCATTTTAAGTTCAAGACAGTTAGGGCACTCGCCATGCTTGCGGTTGTACAGTACCGGTGATAAGGCAGTTGAGAGTGGGGCACTGACTTCCTGTTAAAGTAACCAAAGCAGTTGGGGTCATTGAAACAACTTGAAACAATGTAGGTTGTTTCCAATTCCATTGTAGACAAAAGCAAAGATTTTGTGAAAAAGTTAATACATGAAAATACAACATTTTCCCTACTGTGGAGACAAGTGGACCTCAGTGGATACAATCCAGCTGGTGGGAAATGAGGAGTGCACGGGATGATAACCCTCTTACTTCAAAATAGGCTATTTAAGTAGCAAATTTGTGGTAATAATAACAGTCCACTTTAAATCCGGCCAAAGAGGAAATCTTAGACTTACTAAATTAACACATTACAGAGGATTCCTTTATCAAACTGTCATTTTTTAGTTTTCTACCTTCTTGAAATATTCCTACTTGGGTTTTTTTGTATGTATATACACAACTGTCAGATTAAAAAAAGGACAGTGTATGCACTGGCCACACGCGGTCAGAAATGAAACCTTGTACTATCTATTTTATGAGGTGAGAACCCATGGGGTGTAACATAAAGGGTGGGTTGGGTACTGACGGAGCCGGAGGTATTTCTGGGTGCACTTACGGAAGGACCAGGGTGGTTTCATGCCCGTAGTACTCGTACAGGCCGGTCTGCTGGGCGTACACCTCATCGTGGAGGATGGGCAGCTTACGCAGACTCTCCACAAGGGCATTGGCCTTTGGAGCAAGAACTGTGGGATACAACAAAACAGAAACATCTCATTCCAAAGCTTTTTATTTGTACACCAACCCCTTATCAGTATTTGTTATCAGCTCAGCAAACATCAGTCTCACACTGAACCCTGGTGGTAAAAGCAAGAAATTACATTGTTAAGGATTCTGGAAATTGCATTCTTGTGTAAACTGCAACTCCAGTTAGAATTATTTGACGATAAAAATCTGCCAATAGAGTTTCTGGAGTTGGAGTCAGTGGTGTTTTGGGGTATTTAAAACATATTTGAGCATTTGTGCATAAGTCCTGAATATGTCAAATCAGAAATCACATCAGAAATGTGAGAACACTTTAAGAAGAGACCTTTCTCCGTAGTCCCCAACATAATTAGCTATATATCACGTCAATATAGAGTCATTTCTATTTTTCTAAGGGCAACAGAATCTTCAGTAGCATGGCTTTATCTTCATGGCCTCTTCACTTCTTTGTGTGTGGGTAAAAATAGGATCCACGGTGTGCGAACATGACACAATGTGTTTGAAAAGGTAACAAATGGATGAATGAAACAAAGAAAGAACAATCATACAGAAGCAGTGTTGGCCTCACTCCGCACGCCTCCTGCTGGTTAAATGATTATTCTTCTGGGTTTTAAGGCTTTAAGTGGACTGCCCTCATGGGAACTGTTACACTCCCACACCTGACCCCGAACAATGATTTCCTCGTGCCTGATGACCAACAACGTCCAAAGATCCAAGCCTTTTACATACAGGTGGGTATAACAAAAAACAACAGCTCTTCTATTTGTATGGTAGCATTTAGTGTCAATTATTGTTGTTTAAAATGTTAAAGAGGAATTTGTAATTTGGTCCCTCAGACTGATCTATATCACGCATCCAGTTGTATAAAAAAGTATCCAAAAGTCACACCTTAAACTGCACTTATGTATAACAGCTGATGCAGAATGTTTGACCAACTTCACAAACACGAGCTGCACCTCGGTGTTCTGGAGGTTGACACAGAGAGAAGGAAAGGCCTTAAAAACAACTGTCTTTTTAGTTTGTGAGCTTCGTGATCTTTGCCATTTAAGAAGATGGCATCTATAACACAAACCTGCCACTATCTAAACACACCATGTGTAAATGATTCTAGAAAAGAAATCGAAACGGAACCGTACAGGCTTGAAAATAGACCTGTTTTCCATGTTTCCTTCCCTCTCTGTGTTATCTGTGTCAAGTGCTGTGACTCCTATTTAATCAATATGGTCCAATGTTCTAAAGCTTTTATTAATATTCCTCTGTGAACCCTCAACCCCAGAACTAACTTTTCCAATGAAGCACACTGTTAACATTAATCTTCATACCAATCAAGCTTAAAATAAAAACTAGAGAAAATATAAAGAGTAATGTTCTCATGTAAAAATCTAATTGTTCAGTTAATTTAGTATTGAATACGAGTCCTCTTATGTACTTATATTACTAAATATCTCTTCTTACAGCATGTAAAACGTAGTGGTCTTTGAGGTGCCTGGCAATTTCTCAAGTCAAGTGTGGCCTTTGGCTGTTTTTTTGCATCCCTACTTGCTCTTAGTGTGGCGCAAGGCCTCATGTCAACATCTGGTTACTCATTGAACTGTGATGTTGCTGTCACTGTACAGTTAGGCCAGCTGGGATGTGCAAAAACCAGTGTGAACGGGAGGAAATAAAATACCTATCAAAACATGTTCCTGGTCCTCATCTGTAAATGTTTCTGTTCTGTGTCTCAATCTTCCTCTTCCTCGAGCCTCGCACCAACTTGTTGTAACTTAACCTGCCAAATGTCCTGATCGTATATCAGCTGCACGAGATGCTCCGGGGGGACTATTTCAGGTTCCACGTGTCGGTTGTTGTCACGCAGGATTAGAGCCGTGCCATGTGACGCGGGGGAACCGTGTTGGAAAACAGGCACCGGCTGGCTGGGCTCGTTCCTGGACGAATTAAAGGACAGCGGGTGATCGTATTTACCGTTATCGTGAAGCGTCATCCCGATGGTGCCGCCGGTGTTGAGGACCAGGACGCGCGCCTCGGCGGCGCACGGGGACCGGCCCGGTTCGGTTTTGTCCAGCGAGGCGCAGCTCGATAGCTTTCTCATCCTGCACGGGTGGAGCTGGGGGCCTGTCGGGGACGCGTCGTAGGCCGAGGCCAGTCGAGGCTGAGACAGTTCCCTCGCCAGAGGGGTGATGCTGCCGCCGTTGGTGTCCGCCATGGTGCCCGGAGAAGTGTCTGGTGCCTTTCACAGGGATTAGCGCACGGGGGTCTTCAGCCTCTGCCTGCGCTCCTCCCGCTTTATACACAGGAGAGCAGCCTCCATCGCGACCATGTGATGAACCCGAAGGGGTGGGGGGGGGGGGGGGTGGGGGGGGGGTTTATCGGAACTTCTTATAATAAGATATTAATTTCCCCGATTTCCGAGAACTGTTAAAGACCCCCCTTTCAGTTTTGCCCTTGAGTTTCAGTATGTCCGCTCTGACGTGGGAAAGGTGGGCGTGGTATCCACTGGCCTGGGTTGTTTTCTTTGGGGTCAGTTTGAGATAGAAGTTCTTGTCATGTTTTATTTCCACTATGTAATCGACATTGGGGGAAAAGAAGCCATTTCATGCGAGAGCGCTATGAATTTATAACGAATGCCTGATCTGTGGATTGATCACCCTTTTTCGTTGTGATGTGTGTTTGTTGTTTTCAAATATCAGAACACAATCAGAATATCATAAAATACATTGGCGTCATTCTTAGGGCAACAAACCAAACTGAAAGTTAAAAAAACACCAAAGAGAATGCGTATTCATGTCAAAATTAGGATAAACAAAAGCACTTTGCCATTTTAAAAGGAAAAGATACATTATTGGTAGGTTCAAGTCAAAGAACTAACTTGAATGACACAAACCTGGGAAAAGGTTATATTTTCTAACATCATTTGATGTGTTTGTTCAAAACTTTTGTCTAGTCTAAGGAGTTGGAATCATTCTTTTCATAAAAAATCTTCCCTCGTTTCAGGACTGTATATTAATATTTCAGAACATTTTAAATTGAGTTGCCTTATAAAGGATATTCAGAAGCTGGTGGAAGAGTCTTAAAGCTCTAAGAAGATTTAGTTATCTAGTTTAATTAAATCTGAACATTATTGGGACACAGATACTGGACAATCAGTATTATCTCTGAACAGCCTAACAGTACCCTGTTTTGAGGAACTGCACCGTACTGTTTTCTCCGGAGTTGAATCATCAGGGTGCCATTGCTAAAGCTCCTACAAGAATATGGTGACACTGATATATGTTTTTCTAGCCTTAAAGTCTTTTCCCTTCATTTAGTTCATTTCCCTGACCTCGGGTCAAATCCTGAGGCAACAGAGCCTTTTCGGTGGCTTTTCCAAAACTGTGGAACAGTCACATGACCCTTTCAGGTTTTTAGTCCTTATTGAAGACCTTTTAACACGGACTTTTAAAGACAACTGAGCATGACATTTCACTATCAACCATAACTTATTTATTGTGTTTTTATTTTGTTGTTTGAATTCACTGTTTTTATTTATCTATTATTGTATTGGACAGCAATTGTTGTCAATGTTCTCTATGAATAATACTGAAGTTGACCTAGATGGAAGTTCTTATAATGATCTCGAGATTCAGATAAAAACACAATTGATAGTTTTCTACATTCTCAAAGCGCAAAAATATTTGCATTCATAACATTTCACGTTAAAATATTACTGTAATGATGAGGTTGACTTTGACATTAACTTTAACATTTAGCATTGAGTTGCCTTCTGAAGAAGCAATTTGCAACATAAAGCAAACATTTTTTACATTTCGTTCGAAGTAACTACATCAAGGACAAATACGTAAAAGGATGAATAACACTCAGCAATGCAGGAAATCAAACTGAGGTGTAAGCAGCTTTCCCATGTGTCGAAACCTAACTTGAATTAAGTTTGTGTGAAGAAACTAAGACTATGACTATGACTGTGTTGCAATTTAGTTTAAACAGTAATCAGTTTTGTAAGTTCATGTTGAAATGAAAAATAAACATTTCTGAAGTATAAAAAAAAGAAATTTGATCAAATCTATCAGTATGGCTCAACACAAACTGATCAGATATTAAATCTTGTTACAAATAAGGTTTCAGGTCAAAAGAGTTTTTCAAGTTGTACGTTTATCATTTCAACTTTCTCTTTTAACTAATTTTCTTTGACTCTTCTCTGAGAATTACTTTATCATCTTGGATCTTGGTGGCTTATAGGGGGGACAAAGACGAGTTTCGAGTTTAATAACAGTTACATTCCAAAGCTCTGCGACTGTTTGTGGTTGTATTACCGGATATTGTATTTGTTATCAAAATCTGAATAACATTTGTATTCACTAAAGCTAAGCGTCAGGTTTAAGTAATGATTTCAGAGCCTACAAATGTAAAAATAACTCAGTTTAGCTTTAAACAAGAGTGCAACTGACATCATATGAAACTTGTCTGTATGTTATTTATTTTTATAAACATCAATGACATTCAAAAAGATTTTTCTCAGTGGAAGATGCAGTGTATCCAATCATATTCTTTGCAATGCACCACAAAGAATAAAGATTTTGTTTCCAGTTCTGGTGTTGTCAACATCAAGTGGAAACCTATAAATATAACGTTGTGGGTACATATCTATGGTTTGATGTGTGTCAGAAACAAAAGATGAAATAGGATACTTTTTATGCTTAATCGTCTTTCTTAAGTTTATTTTTTAAGAGATTCTGATTGAAAATGGCATTTCTACTACTCTAAAAAATGTGCTTGATATGACTGAACTTTACTCATTAATCAGGAAGACATGGCAAATCCATCAATTATCACAACCGCTTATTCCCTAATGGGGTCACGGGGAGAACTGGAGCCTTTCCCAGTGGTCAATGGGCAGTGTACACCCTGGACAGTCTGCCAGTCCATCACAGGGCCACACACAAGACATACAAGGACAAACACCCACAGTCAAGCTAACATGCAGGTTTTTGGAGAAAGCCGGAGAACCCGGAGAGAACCTACGCAGACACAGGGAGAACATGCAAACTCCACATAGAAAGGTCCTGGTGCACTGGGACTCAAACCCACACCCTTCTTGCTGTGAGGCGACAGTGCTGATCACCCAACATTGCAAATCATTTCTTGGAAATTTAATTTTGTTAGCAAGCTACTACTTTTAGCCCTGTAAATTCAGCAGAAAAGACTTGAATCAAAGTTTCCACATCTTTAAATAAACGCTCAAACCAGAAACCAATGCTCAGTGAGCAATCCTTTGAGTCAAAAACAAAGGATAAAAAAGGATACTTTTGTTGCTTAGATGTCTTTATTTTTTCTTTATTTGTATTTTTCCACATGATGACGCTCTGATGGAAAAGCTGCTTTGGCTAATTAAAAAAGATGTGCTTGAATTAACAGAACTTTACTCTGATATCAGGAAGACATAGAAAATCATTCATAGGAAATGTATTTGTGTGGTCCAGTTTCTACCTTTAGCCTGGTAAATCCAACAGAAAACACTTGAAATTTTGACATCTATGATTGAAAGATAAATCCAGAAACCAGTGTTCAGTCATCTTAGGAATAACCAAAGATGTAGCTTCAAAATCCTTTTAGGTTGGATTTTTAAGATGACTGGGAAATGCAACTATAAAGCACTCTGCATAATGGTTTTAAAAATTTGAAAAGTATTCCTACATATATAATTTACAGTTTTTTTCATAATATCTTTTTCTGTGAAAAAGAACAGAAAGGTACACAAATTCAAAAATGAAAAAACTGAACATTTCAGACAAAGCTTAAAATATTTAGATAGCCACAAGGGGGTGATATCAGACTTGACAAATAATTCAGCAACTCCTTTGGATATTAATTTACAATAAATGAAAAAAGTATGCTGGTAACGTTAGAAATTAGTGTATGGGAACAATGAAGTTGATCCCCACAATGGTCAGTTGTGGGGTTTTGAATCAATTTCCTTCCCTAATGTTCCCTTGTTTGGGCAGAATATTAAAGTATTTAAATGGTTTTGTCGAATGAAATATTAGCAACACAGGCAGAATGAATCAAACAAAACTTAGTTTGCATTTTCAAGCTCAGAATTTAGATAAACACACGCATGTAACATTGAGGCATGACACATATGGCATTTTATCCTAACAGAGGAACAAAAAATGAATGCATAAAAAAACCCTGAAAATTCTTTATGAGTTTTAGAAAATAACAGTTTCATACAATAACTACATTCAGTTTAACAGAATCAAAATTTGAACAAATCCAGCCACATTTGACGGTTTCTTTGGCCACATTTCAGTAGGGGGTCTTTCTCCTGACGCCCCAGACAGACGGTCAGAGGCGGACAGGCGGCATTAGCTGAATGAAGGCGACGGGAGGAAGTGGCTGTTAATGCAGCTCCACACCTTTCCGGTGTAGCAGCACTGCGACCAGCTACACTAAAAGGAGGAAGACGGCAGCCGAGTGAATGTATTCCTGTCCGGAGGGGGACAGAAAAAAGGTAGACAAGTCATCTTTTGAACAGCTTTGCCGCTTATTAGAACAGATGTCAACCGTATCGTTGCCGTAGCTGATATTTTGCGATCCCAGAGGATTAGTTCACAGCAGCTAACTGCCGCTAGCGAGTTAGCTTAGCTCGCTAGGCTGCTAGCTAGCTAATGCTGGCTAACTAACCGTCTTTTACAGCCACGAGCGGTAACTCGCTCAATTTTAACGTGCGTCCGTTCTTTTCAAATCTCTTTTCAGGGCGCCCAGAGTTGTAGGTGTGGGTATTGGCGCCGGTGAGTCGTCGGTAGCATTCCCCCTTAAGTCGTCCCTTACACCACGGCGAGGTCGCCCGGAGCGACGCTCAGAGGCTGCAGAGGGCTGCTCTTTCTGCTCGGGCAGCAGCCGGTGAGGAGGACCGCCACACGCCAGCACCGGCAGGGTCTCGTTGACGGATGGTGGCTCTTTCAGGGGGGGGGGGGGGATCCTGCACACGCTCTCCGCTGCTTGACACCTCTCACAGAGCTTTGCGTTTAGCTCAGCTGAACAATGAACGTCCAGCCACCACTGCTGCCAAGTTCTTAGTCCGACTGTGTCATGTTGTGTGTAAACCCTGAGAACATCGTGATACGCTAAAAAAAAAAAAAATATAACATTAAATTCCCCAGCCCCCAGCACTCTGAAGGATCCTGACAGACTTTTAAGTGCCCCCCCCCTCCCACTCCTCAATCCTGATTGTCAGCTGCAAACATGTGTGCACATTTTTGACCTTTCCCCTAAGTCATGCTGACATCACTAAGCCTTCATTAAAACCGGTGCTGCTTTGTTAGAAAAATCCAGAACAGTACTTGAAACTTTTCCTCTAGAAAACAAAAGTATTTATGCACAAGAGTTCAAGATGGGGAAGATGCTCTCGAAAATCTTTGGCAACAAGGAGATGAGAATATTGATGCTCGGACTCGATGCTGCTGGGAAAACAACAATCCTTTACAAACTCAAGCTGGGACAGTCTGTGACCACAATCCCCACAGTGGGCTTCAATGTAGAAACGGTCACGTACAAAAACGTCAAGTTCAACGTGTGGGATGTTGGAGGCCAGGACAAGATTCGTCCTCTGTGGCGGCACTACTACACGGGCACCCAGGGCTTAATTTTCGTGGTGGATTGTGCGGACAGGGATCGCATTGACGAGGCTAGGCAGGAACTTCACCGCATCATCAATGACCGGGAGATGAGGGACGCCATCATCTTGATTTTTGCCAATAAGCAAGACCTTCCCGACGCCATGAAGCCGCATGAAATCCAAGAGAAGCTGGGGTTGACGCGCATCAGAGATAGGAATTGGTACGTTCAGCCCTCCTGTGCCACCACAGGTGACGGACTGTATGAGGGCCTGACGTGGCTAACCTCAAATTACAAATCTTAATGAATGAGTGCTGACTGTTTTAGGTCAAATCACAGCAAAGTTGCAAGTAACAAATAACTTCTCCAAATGAGTATGGTTAAGAAAAGTTGATTATCCCCCATTTATTTTTACTACCACCTTTACCCCATGACTAATTTATCTTAACTGGGTTTGCTGGCTTCAAGTTTGCTTGTGCTCTGTAGCAGGCTTATATCTCTTTCCTTGTTGGGGTTTGCTTCAATTGTTGAATCGATTGGTCCCAAAGCTGAAGCCACAGAGATCACCACCTTTGCCTATTCTTTTTGCTGTTTTATATAGTTTTTCTAATGAAGTTTTTATCTTCATTCTTGGACTAAAGCTTGTTTGAAGGTTCTTTAGTCTGTTGCATTGAACTTAATCTTTTTTTTTTCCCATTTGAAGATGAGCTCTTTTGTCATGTCTTGAAGGACTTTGACATGTGTGTCAGCACAGTACTGTGACGAAAAGTATTCTTCTCATTGGTGTGAGAAAACGGGGATAAGAATGCAAATATAAAAAAAAAGAATTGCTTACGTTCATTGTCATCAGAGGGGGAAAAAAGATATTTTCAACACATTTTGCCCCCTCCAATACCCGTATGTGGGCTATATACTTACATGATTGACATTTTGTGTCACGTCTATCTAATTGTGCTGAGTATTCGACAAATAGGCCTCCGGTAACTCTGAAATGCGCTTGTCAGGATGCATTTTAATTTTGGATAACACGTAGCCAGTTGACACAATCTTGCAAAAGGAATGTCATTCAGCTATGAGCTCAATCCGATACCACAGTTGATTAGTCTCAGTATTGGGACATTATATGATAGCCTATATCTGTAGCATGAGTACGTAAGTACATTAACCCTCCACCAGAGTCCATCTGTCATGCAGTCAGAGGGAGCTGTGCACTGACCAGATGTTTCAGGACACCCTGTGGTTCAGCTCTTACTCCTCTTTTGACTGGGGGAACTATGTACAGAACAATGTCATTGTAATGTCTTATTAAAAAAGTGATTTTAAGTCTCATGTGTCTGTTTCTTTTTTGTTGTTTCAAGCGGCCTATGAAAGACGGGAACTTGGTATCCAAGGCGATGATTACAGTGTCGATTAAAATGATTCTCACAAACAAAAGTAGACGTCTGAAGTTTTCCAAGTGCTCTCTTGGTTTTGCTGCTATTTGGCAGAGTCTTCATAAATAGTGTGCGCTTGCACTGAAAGCTTCTGGCCTCAGTTCCCTTGCCAGCGAACCAAGAGAATGTAAAAAAAACAGGAAGTTCAGCTGCTGGCGTCTTCAGAACAGCAGCAGAGCCACATGATGGCTTGCATGAGAGTCGGAGGGGCTGCACAGACATACGGCTGAATCGTGCATTCTTTGGGGTTACATGCCAGTTGTGAACCATAGAATTGATGTTGTAACTTTCCAAGTTTGGCGTTCGCTTGGAACCGGCCTTAAAAGCAGAACTGTGTCTGTTCTTTATGGGCTTGGTTCATAAAATGGAAAGTTACTGATTTGATACTGAAATGAGTCACGAGTCTCACTTCTTTTACGAGGACTCTCAAAACCTCAAGTTTTGAATGTAGATGCATCTTTACGTAGTTTACGACAAGCCAAGTGTGATTTGTACGACACGTAGGGTAATATTTCAATAAAATAGTTTTTTAAGTTCAGCTGAACCTCTCAGTGTGAAGTGAATGGTGACTTTGACTGTGACAGCTGATAGAGACATGAAAAAGATTAGTTTGGGATTGCTGAACACAGCCATGACAAGCACTGAGCCATGTGGCAGACACTTCTTTACAGGTTTATCTGCACCCACAATGAGCTCTCCTCCTCGATTGTGCTTGTTGGTTGGAAAATCTGGTTCTTTAGCAAGTCTCTCCGTAGGCCTCGGGGTGTTTGTTTTGTCACCATTGAGGTTTCTGTCAGACGGGTCAGATGACTAAAACCGACGGCTCGGCTTCTATTCACAAAGCCCGCGCGCATAGTGGAAAAGGTGCTGGTTTCGAATGCCACCTGAACAGAGCAGCGTGGACGAGAGAGGCGTCCACCCTAGAGCCCTACACCTCGATAAAGGCTCCAAGCTGTAGACGGCTATTTGTAAGCGCTCGCCCGGCCGAGGGCCTCCATTAGATGCTGATGGCAGCTTAATTGGGCTGTAATGACCACTTTGTTTCCCACCACTTCATTACAACCATATGATCCTCACAGCTTTATTGGCAGCCATGGTGCCCCAGGGGCAAGGACGGAGACTGTAAGCAAGTTTTAATGACCTCCCCGCTGTAAAGATCAGACCTCCTGGCTCTCCTGTCAACTCCCAAAGCTCCACAGGAATTCCTCACGCTTCCTGAGGGGAAAGGTTACAAACGGGTCGCAGGTCACAGACAGGAGCTCAGTGGCCGGGGCTTTGCGTGATAACCCTTATTTCTCTTGTTTCTGAGAGTGAGGTTGGTCTGGTTGATCAAAAGTCGGACTGAGTAACAGCGTCTCTAGGCGGAGAACTAGTAAATGAGGTCACCGATTACACGGTTTACTTGCGTCACGGTTTTCACAACATTACAGTTGTCGCATCGTTTTGCACTGGCTTATCTAAGATTGTGCATGAATGCCTTGTGATAGGTGGCCTAAAAAGCTTGTTTTTTTTTTGGTCCCCGTAACCAAAGCCTGACGGGATCTCTGCCGACGCGGCTAAAACTGTGCTACTGCAAGCCTCCACTCAGTTCCTCTATTCTACGAGAAAGTAGGAGAGTGATCAAAAGACAGCCCGTCTCCTCTGAGTCATGTTTTACCTTCGTAGAATGCATATTTTCCCCTTTTTCACAATGACATGTTGCTCAACCCTCAACTTTGGAAACAATCGAGCAGCTCAGGAGTTTCTGTGGGTGGCGGCTGTAAGAGCTGTACTCCTCCCTTGCTTTGGCAGTCCTGACATGAACTACCGTTGTGGTTTTAACGTGTGTGTGTGTCTTCCTCACTTCACTTCCTCTAGCCGCCGCGCATCAGCCGTGCAGGTAGTGCTAATACGGTGCTTGTTTCTGAGTGTGGGCCTTGAACGTAGTCACTGTTGGCCTACAATTTAGCAGCCACACCCATTCAGATAATCGCCGAAGGATTTGCTTTGCATGCACACACAGATATTCTTGTCCACGTCGCCAAACACCATTATTACTGCAGTTTATCTGCCAAATGGAGGGAGGGAACACCTACTTCAAACCACAAGGCTTACAGCCTGCTTGAGTGGCTGTTTTTCCTCAAGGACACTAAAATAGCTGCCTTGCTTGTGATGCTTCCTATCGCTGGACTCGGGTAAAGCAGGTGCAGAGGTAGCTGACGGTTGGTAGGTTTCCTGCTCAGGGTGAGAATGAATGCCATGGCAAATGCTGCTTTTAGACACGTGTACTCTTATGACCTGCGGTTGTTTCAGCCGCTGGGGTTTCAGAACATGAGATTTTTTATTTTTTTCTCAGGTCTTGCTGTGGCTCTAACGTGGTACGTTGCCAGTTGAAGTGGGGTTTAAGCTTCTGAGGCTGTGTGACCACTTGGCAGAGGTCTAAAAATACATTCCAATCATATCTGCATCTGAGGATGGAGGTTACCTTCTGTGTTGAAATCACAGACTCTGAGCACCAAATCACGATGAAGTGAAAGCAGTCTATGTGCCACAGACACTGGTTTGTGTTTAACTAGACACACAAAAAGCATTTATTACATGATTAACGCGCTGACTGACGTTTCACAGGCCCGATTTAAATGCCACAGCTTTAAGCATAAACTATATTCCACCATGTGAAAACAGCCCACATGGCTCCATGGGTCCTCTTGGCAGATGTTTTGCACAGCTGTGTATGTGAGAACCTGTTTGTGTGTGCACTCATGCACCGTGTTTAGGTAACTGGTTCACAGATGAGTGCTAGCTGAATCTTACACTCAGATTTGATCCATGCATGATGGGAAAATGAGAGGCAGGCATTGGGAATCGTGCAGCCGCTTGCAGTCAGGAGTTCCAGAAAGAGCATCGGCTTCTGGGGCAAAATGACATCAGTCTGAAGTTTTTTTTTGTTTTATTCTAGATCATTTGTCGGTGGCATACATTTGCCTCCGGCTCACACACATATTGTCACAAAGCACTGACCTCTGCGATGGAGTATTTATTTTCCCTGTGTCACCACAGGAACTATGTTAATGCCACAGTGTGCAGGAGTGTAAGCACTTCAAACAGAAGTCATTCACTCAGCCGAGCCACATGGTAGCTTTCAGGCAGTGACTGACAGGAGAAACCCCGAAATGCTTTGTTTGGTAGTTTCCCAACAGCAGATCTGACCAGATTGCTTTAATTACAGCCCAAAGTGAGCGACACATCTGGATTAAACAGCAAGCTTGTGCTCGAAAAAAAAACTCTCAGATCTGTAGCAAGTCAGACTCACACATGTTTTACAATCGGACCATTGAGAAGTTATGACTCAGGGAAATGCTTAGTGCTCACTCTGCTTCCCTCCTTCCTGCAGCTATCCTACTGTGCTGGGCCCACACTGGAATATTGTGCGGACAGTAAACACGGGAAGTGAAGACTCCTCGACTGGTATTTATAGTAAAGAGTTCCGCTATGATTATACGTCAAACATACAAAGCGGACATGATGATGGTTTAAAACCCTCCAAGAGCACCAACAGACCAACAGAAGCAGTTCAGATTTGTGTTGCCGGACTGTAAAACGTTACCACTTGGAACTATTCTAACCACGGCCTTGATGTGATTGCACTGAAAGGAATGAAAGAAGGGGGGAAAAGTGTGCACAATATTCTCACAGTGCTGGACGTGTGTCCCCTCTCAACTGCAGCACAGCTGTCCTAACAGCTCCCCCGCCCTCCCCCTGTTCCCGCTTTAGTGGTGGGAGGGAGCCGGCATTGTGTGTCTATAAGCTAGTTGTCCTCCAGTGGTGCACTGCCAGTTCACGCTCTCGAATCAAATCCACTCAGCGAGCGCGGCACAAACGATCCCAACGGCTCCACGGCTCCCATCATTCCAGATGGGGATAGAGACTGTGCTGAAAGATAACACCAATCACATGCTCTGTTTTGAAGCCGGGAGGGGGGGGGGGTTGGTGTCTCTGCGCTGCAGAAAGTTTAGCGGGATCAGATTGCCATGTGAAAGAGAAAAAAAGAGAATATCTGTGCGCCTCTCTTCTATTTTTAATCATCCCAGTCTGATGTCTATTCTCGAGCCACTCCCAAATAGAGAGGAATGAGTCTTCCTTTCTGGAGCAGCGTCTCTTGGCTCCAGGCAGTGTGATGAGGACGGTGACACAAAAGATCCTCTGTGTCGCTTGGCTGCGATGCACCACACAGGCTGGTGGAGTCAGACTCTCCCCCCACCCACTCGGTATGGAGGGGCGTTGCACCGCTGCCACCCCGTGTCACCTTGTGTCCAAATAGCTCCTCGCGGATCACGGACACAATAGCAGAGGGATTTTACACTCAGCAGTCAGTAAATCCAACCATGAATAAGAAACCAACTGCCCTCCTTTTGGTTACAGGGTGCAAGTACAGAAACAGCTCTAATGCAGATTCAGGTACTTCCTGAGGAGCTGAGCTGTGTTTTCTTTGTAGGTTTTCCTCACAGGTAGGAGCTACGCCCTCTATTAGCACCATCTGTTTGGCAGCATATGCCCCCATTCTGTCTCGATGCAGACGGTGTAGTGTGTACATGAATAATCATGTTACGCTCACCAGAATCAGCTGTTACGTGCATGTGATAACAGATTACACACACCGCTGTTTCACTGAGGGCCGTCCTCATTTAGACAGCACCTCTCTTTATTCCCCTGAATGCTAGCCTAATTAGCCAAACTAAGAACCACAAGGAGATTGCATCAGCACTCTTTTTAATAATTTTTGGGGGTTAATATTTGAGGAGTGGGGCCTATGAAGACAGGAAGATTAAAACCAAGTTGGATGACGAGAACAGACAAGAAATTGTCCACGCAGAGCAGTAGCACGCCTCTCCTGCCCTCTGATCCCCCCTGTAACCCCCTGTGTCCTGCCCCCCCCACCCTGTGGGACCTGGACATAATACCAGCGGGGAGTCAAATTAATTAGCTGCTCAGGGCTCAACAGCAGGTTGAATCTTACTGTAACAGTCCAGTTGCTCAGGGCACGAGTGTGAGGACAGCTGAGGGCCACAGGGAGCAATTACTTTCAATGATCCGCTGCAGCTATTTTGAGTAAGTGTAAAAGATGGCAGTTAATTTCAGGTCCTGATGTTAGTTACGCTGTCATTATTTTATTAAGGGGAAAGACTGCCCCAAAAACACCCAAAACTACACTTCCAACACTGGCTGTTAATCAGTGATCGTTGGGATGGGACAGATTGCATTTAAACATGGATGTGTTTTTGGTGTCCTTAAATGAATGTTAACTGTAAACAAATAAATAGATTTGTTGGTGTTTTGATTTGCCTGTCTACTTGGATAGAAGGGATAACCATCACATTCAGGACTATTGATCAGTGTTCGTTACTGGCCCTTCCTGCTCATAATACTCTTATGTAAGAGCATGTCAGCTTTCTAATATGGGACAATATGTCAGGACATGACGGGAACCTTCATTCAGACAAAGTCAGATTTGATACATATGATTTTCTTCAGCCTGATCGTTTCTGTTTGGTCTGCAGATCAGAGGCCGACCTGCCCTTTACACCGCAGCTCAACCGTGTAAACAGAGAGCAGCGTGGAGGGCGGTGAGGGGGCCCTGCAGGCCTGTGGGACTATGGGGGGTGCTTAATGGTTTGTGGCTTGAGAAAGAATCGCAATTTTTCACCCCAGTCTGAGATATAAAGTGGACTTTTTATTTATTTTTGTCGCCAGCCTAATGCGGGAAATGAAAAAAACGCCCAACTGAAATCATTACATAGCTGTGGGATAAGCAGCTCGGTCCTCAAAGCAACCGATGCTTTAGTCTACAGGCCAAATGTTTGCACTGATGACTATTGCCCCCTAGTGCTGCTAATGGGTAGTCTGAATTTAAAGACTCCACATTGATTCAGATAAGCCACTCTCAGCCATTTCTCATGGCCGGCAGGTGCTTCGTTTGCAGAAGTATTACACATGCCCTTTTAACAACTTTGTTCGATCAAATACAGCTGATAAGGAGGGCGTTGCTCAAGTGAACACATGCAATGACTTTCCTCCAGTTTGCCAAACCATAAATATTTTATTTTCATGTCTACTTCTATTTCATACAAACATGAAAAATACAAGAATTGCGAGACTAATAAAAAAAACTTTAACAGATGCCAGAGTTCTGCATACATTTATTATTCAAATATTTAAAAAACAGAAATACATGAATACATCTGCTCAGAAAAATCAATCCAACAATATTGAATTTCTACAGAATGAATCAATTCCCGGTAAAAACATTATGTAAAAATGTATCCAAGTATCTTATGCAAGATGAATAGATATTCTAAATTTTCCTTAACATGTTTAATGTGTTATCATCACATTAATTAAGGCAAGTCACAAAAAAAGTTAAACTTTTCTTCTAATGTGCAGGATGTGAATGTCTGGACTTCTGAACTCTTGGTCCTGTTTGTCAAAGGGGATTTTCTCAGTGCTAAAGTTTTGCTCCAGCAACTGAAAACACAATAAAAAAACAACAGATAAGACAATCGTGATGGCAAATATCTCAAGTCAGTAAGTACAAAAGGAAAAATACTTTAAAAAAATATATATTTTCTTTATTCTTACCTCAAAAAAACGCCTCTCCACCTCTGGATTGACGCCTTCGGTGCGTTGCTCATAGCAGCAAATAATGCAAGTCTCAGGTCCAGAGAGCAGCTTCAAACTCTCCACCAGCGGAACAATTGACTACATAGGAAGAAATGCGGATCACAATGAGAACCTTTGCTCACTTGCTTCATTCTTGTTTTAGAATGGTGCTGATGGGATGAACAGTAGAAAGCTGCAGTACATTACCTGCTCATAATAGATGCAATCTGCCATAAGGATATAATGAGGAGGGGGCAAGAACTCGGACACATCGTCACCCCTTTTTAGGAAAGATTAAAGTTAGCGAAGTTGAATGAGGCTGATATACAGTCCTATGTTCATGCATCTTTTATTTATAGTGCTTATTCCTAGTAGTCTATGTAGAATTTAAGATATTATAAAGGACAATGTGAAAAATATTAGTACAAACCATTTCAGTACCTTGGCAGTTATGGACCCACTACTGACGAGTGCCTGGTTTTCTTGGATGTTTAGGGTCAGAAGGGTCTGCAAATCTTCCAGGTCTGTGACGAAAACCTGAGCTCTGTCGATATTGAGAAGAAGAAAAGACAAATAAAAGTAAGATGCATCCATAATTAGAACTAGAAGACATAGCCTGAGAATGACACTCCTACTGAGTGAGTTTACCTGTATAAATAATGGTTCAATTTAAAAACAAATAATACAAAGGTAAACATATTGAAAGAATGATATAATGGGTCCTTAACCTCACCCGAGGGTTGCTGCCATTAGACCAACCACTCCGGTTCCAGCCCCCAGTTCCACCACCGTGCTGCCAGACCACACGTTGACTTCAGAGGCGGGGTCGTAAAACTGCTTTGTCTCCAAATATTTCGCAAGAACGATAGCTGCATCCCAGACCACACAACCGACGTCCCCAATGTAACACTGTCTCACTTTTAAGGCACGGCCGTCATTTTTCTCAATTTCTCTCACAAAATATTTACTGTCGTCTGTGTCGGCCGCCATGTTGGCCAGATGAGGAACAGGAGCGGTGCTTCCGGTCTATTTAACATTCACAATAAGAGCTACAAGTTTGTGTACAGGGACAAGTTAAATCAGTAAAAGTCCACCTTTCGTTCTGTAGGGTAAACACATTATACTGCTGATGTTATTCCGATTGGAAAGGGGTTAAATCCTGTTTCAAAACGTGTATCTTTTCACGTTGAGTAAAAGCTCAAATACGTTAGATCACAAAAATGAAATAATCTTAAACTTTGACCTCTGATCTGCAAAACATACACCAAAGAATTCCCCAAATAAAGTCAGTGCTTTTCATTTTGGAATTGAAAAATGTATGCTTTTTTAATTACATTTATTGACCATGTGGTTACACTTTTAAGAAAGTTTGGTTTCTGTTTTTGTTTATGCGAATAAAACTTTAATCATTGTAGAATAAATCAGTCACTGAAATTGTACTCGTGGATAGACATTGTGGACGAATTTAAATCTTACAAATACATTCAAACTATTTATTTATTAATTATGTTAATCCATACATTATTTAAAAATGTGTAATAAAGTATGATCACAGTTATTGTTTTGTTCTTCTTCTACTACTTCTTCTTGACATGCGTAGATCTGTTCGTGTCGCGCGCTAAAGTACCAGTTGTAGCTAGCTAACAGAGCAATATTTTCGCTTTTATAAAGACGTGATTTTCCTGGTGTATATATTTCTTTAAAAATACAAATCCAATAGATGTGCACACGAGTTTAACATATTTTTTTCCCAATATCCGGTACTTCTGGGGTTTTAAAATGTTCCACAGCAGTACAGAGGAGGTAACCGGAGGTGACACCTCGGATTGCGGGCAAAACGGAGCTTGGTCCCCCGCAGAAAGACCACGACTGAATGAAACCGCCACTTCTTACGGCCCAGCATCATCTTTTTCAGCTTTATCCCATCACAGTTCAAACGAGAGCAGCTCCGCCTCGGTCCAGGATGCACCTGTGATGCGAGTAGCCTCAGGTGATTGTGGATGGCCAGAGTAGTTTTAAATGTACTTGAAATGATTTGAAACAAATTTGTTAAAGATCATAGGACGTACGAGTAATTCAGTTTTAGTTAAAACGTATAAAAATAGTAAATTTCTTCTGATATTTAACTTTAGAATACCACTATGGGCACTTCTGTGTAGGCCTTTCTAGTAAGAATATTACAAAAAAAAAAAAATTTCAAACTTTGTCTTGGCAAACAGCAGGTGAGGGCAGCAACAACCTGAGGATTGGAAGGACGGCCTCATTGCTCCTGGCGTCCACCTCAGACAGCTCTTCCTTTCGCTGCCACGGAGGAACACCGAGATTTCGAAAGACGCCGGGCTCTGCGGGGCCCACAGGTTCTCCCTTTGCACAGACAGCCCTCACTGAACTCACACTGGGACCTCAAAATAAAGTCTCTCCCATTCACGTCGACTCTCATCCGCAGGGACAAGTTGCTCATCTGCATCCACAGTCGCTGGGCCCTCTGTGATCGTAGCCGTCGTTGAAGGCCGTGGTTTGGCCCGAGGAGAGATCGGTATGGCCAGTCTGGACTTGAAATGTCCAGAGCTCGTGCTTTCTCAGTTTGCAGACACAGGGACATATGCCAAGGTAACATATCCGTTTCTTTCTGGTTAGACTATATCAAATGAGGAAAGAATTCTAAATATGGAGACTGAGACTCAGCACTTTATTGTTTCTGTTCAGGTTATAACCAGGATTCACATCTCAGTACCAGTTGAAATACTGATGCCAGACACGGCTTGTGAAAAAGGGAAAGGGACAAAGCTTTTCAAGCTCATCACGGAGAATTTCTCGGTACAGAGTTGGAACTAAAATATCAGTGTCACTACTTTTTTTTTTTTTCATAGGCTCTCATTTTGTTGAAATGTTGGTGATAGCTCTGGATGAGCTCATCTGGAACATGTGTTTATGTTGGGTAATATTTGTATTGTTTGGGTTTTCTTTTACAGGGTGTCACTTTCACTGCAGTCCAAAGGAAGTATTTTAATGAGAAGAAAGGACTTGAGTACATTCAGCAGCTGTGTGCCCCAGAATTTGGCACCGTCCTTATGGAAGTACAAGCAAAGTATGCCACTATACAGTTACTAAATGCACATAAATAGGTTTACTGTAGCATTAAGACTTGTTTTATAATCCCCTTTTTTTTTTAGGTATTACTGCCTCGCAGCCGCAGCCGCTTTGCTAAAATACCTAGAGTTCCTCCAGAACTCTGTTTATGCAGCCAAGTCTCTTAAAGTGACCTTTAAAGGCAGTGAACAGACAGCCATGATTGACTCAGCATCGGCTGTTAACCTGGAGCTGGTGGTCAACAACAGAGACCACAGGTGAGAGAGAAAAGGAGGGCAACAATGTGCCCCATCTCTTTCTATAGATGAACAGTTTGCATAGTCAGTCTACCCCTGCCTCTACTTCCCTCAACACAGGAGTGAGCATACTCTTTTAGGGGTGCTGAACTATACGAAGACACCTGGCGGTACCAGGAGGTTACGCTCTAACATCCTGGAGCCTCTGGTTGATGTGGACACCATCAACATGCGCTTGGACAGCATTCAAGAGCTGTTGCAGGACGAGGAGCTGTTCTTTGGCCTGAAGAATGGTCAATAGCTGTTTAATCTCGCACGCATTCTATTTTGAATACTCACGATGAACGCATGACGCAACGTTCGCTCCTTTTCTCCTATCAGCCATAGGTCACTTCCTCGACATTGACCGGCTGCTCTCGGTTCTTGTCCAAATCCCAAAGCAGGAAACAGTGGACGTTCTGCTTCTATTTCTCGTGACTGTATAAGTCAAACTAAATCACTGTACCGTTTAAACGTAGTTTAAGTTATTCATTTTTTTTTTTTTTCCTTTCTTTTAGGTTCAAGCTGCTGAGTCTAAGATTACTCATGTCATTCAGCTGAAACACACCCTGGATCTGGTGCCACGGCTAAGGGTCGGAGGCTGCTTCTACTATGAGATAGATTCACTATCACCCAACAGCTATGGATCGAATAAAGAAAAAAGCTAAATAAGCCTCTTATTCCACAGATGGTGTTGAAGACGTGCAGAACGGGTCTGCTCAAAGCATACAGCACCGCGCTGGAGGACAACAGGTGCGGCCCCCCTCCATCATCCTTATTTCCCAAATACGCTGTTCCATTCATTTACCTCCGTGCGCGTTTTTCCTGCTTCAGGTTCGACGTGATCCTCGAGCAAATCAAAACAGTCATAAACTCTGACACCACATATTTGAAAGGGAGTTTGAACATGCGCACCCAGAAGTGTTACGCTGTGCGCCCCGACATCAACGAGTTCCTGGACATCGCCCGCCGGGCCTACACTGAGATAGTGGACGACATCGCAGGTGCCGGTGCCCGTCGTTTGGTGAGTGTCGTCGCCCTGGAGCGTTTGTGTAATTCATGGATTGGATGCGGCGGCTGTGCTGCGCAGGGCTCGTGAACCAGCTGGGGGAAAAATACGGCTTACCGATGCGCACCAGCTTCAGCACAGCTCGAGGTTTCTTCATCCAGATAAAGATGGACGGAGTTGTCCTACCTGAGGGGAAGCTCCCTCAAGAGTTCATCAAGGTAAGACCCACCAAAGATAGAAGTGACCTGCAGGGTAAGGGCAAACGGACCCAGCAGATTAATGGAAACCGTGTTAATGAAGGAAGCAGACCTGACAAGACTGGAACTCAGTGAAACAGACTTTTGATATCTTCCCCCCTCAGGTTACCAAATACAAGAACAACTATGGCTTTACCACAGCAGACCTGATGAAGATGAATGGACGCTGTGATGAAGCCCTGAGAGAGATCTTCCACATGTCTTATGTGTGAGGACTTGCTGATCTTGTAACTAACAAACTGGCACAGTAGTGTTTTTTAATGCCCTTTTTAAAACTGAAAAATCACTTTGTACTCACACTGTTCTCATTCAGTGGAGGTAAATTTTCCGTTAAACCCTTTATTATTCTTTAAATTTGTTTTGATTATTGTTTTTCATATATCTTTTATATCGTTTTCCATTTTATTCTATCACAAAATAATTTAAAATGATAAATATATGATATAACACAAAAATAGTATATATATATATATATATATATATATATATATATATATATATATA